CCGGGGCCTTGAAAAACAGTTTTTTTCCCATCACCCCGGCCACCCCGGCTACAGGGCCCTAGGAATTTCGATTTTCTCAAAAAAATGCATAAATTCATGTCCATTATTATGGGGCGCAGCTACAGTGTTTTGGTCAGGTTCAAGCCTCAGACTAATGAAAGGACAGGGTCCTCTCGTTGCCACGTGCAAGTCCCAGCTGGAAGGGCAGGGCCCTCCCAGCACAATCATAGCCAACGGCTGTGGTTGTAAGCTTGAACCTATGGTCCGAACACGTGGCCCCTCGTGCCTTGTGATAGAGTTCGGGTGCATGTAGTTGAGTGGGGATGAAACTCACGAGAATGCTGTAAACAACGTGATCACGCCCCTACTTTGCCTCGTGGCATCTGCTATAAAATAAAGACACGGCTGGTGGGCGCTGGTGCTGTCTCTTCATCAGGGAGCAGCGTCCCACCGAGACCCAGCTTTCATTCTCTTGTCTGTCTTTTCTCAATCCTTTCCCCCGCCCACTCAGGGTCACTGAACCAGGCTGAGCTGGCATGGCCCATAAGGCGCCCGGGGCTGAGTATGCCATGGCCGTGCCGGCTCCCCACACATTACTCTGACTGCCACAATTATATTAGGTTCAGTTTTTTTGTGCTAACATTAAATATAACTCAAGGATTTTTTTAAAAATCCGTGTGTAAGTGAACCAATGCAGTTCAAACCCGCCTTGTATTTTGGATGTGAGGTTGGGAATTCAAGTACTCAAAGGGCTGACACTTTATACCTGGATTTTCAACTGTGAGGTGGGGTAAGTTGGCACCCCTCACCCCAATCTCGCTGGTCTAGAGTTAATGATGAAGATTTTTTCAAGGGTCTTAGGGTTTGCAAAGTGAAAGCACAAGTAGGCAATCCCCAGGGTGTTCCTAAGAAAAAAGAAATGCTGAGGGTTCTTAAAATGAAAAGTACGTGTTTGAGAAGAATGGGCCCTGCATGCTTAGCCTCTGGGTTGGTCTGCGATGGCAACACTTAAATGTCAGGGGGTCTGGATACATGCACACTCTTTCCTTAGGTCTTTAGGGGGAACCGGCCGGTCATCTGGAGGTTTGATGTATAGCCAGGCGTTGCTGCAGGACCGGAAAGTTCAAAAGTTTAAGTTCCCAGGCTTGTTAAAGTCAGGATGGTTTCCTTGTGCCTTAAGCTACTATATTTTTGCTAATTTAACAGCTTGACTATAATGACTCCATTTTATTTCTTATCTCTTCCCTCACAGGCCAGGCCTTGATTGGTTACATAACCAATGTTTTCTGTTTGAATTATTATTATTATTTTAAAACTTTAATGTTGACATTATTGTAGACTGCCCTCATCCTCCCCCCCGCCCGCCTTTGCCCACCTCCTCCCCCGCCCCCCTTTTGGTCTTTGTCACACCATTTTCCATGTCCATGGGGTCTGCATATATGTTCTTTAGCTAATCCCTTCATTTATCCAGGCATCCCCACTTCCCTCTCCTTCTGGCTCTCTCCAGTCTGTTCCATGTGTCCATGCTTCTGGTTCCATTTTTTTTTCCGCCGTTTATTTTTGTTCTTTAGATTCCACATATTAGAGAGATCATATGGTATTTGTCTTGCTTTGACTGGCTTATTTCGCTTCACATAATACTCTCAGGTCCCTCCATGCTGTCGCAAAAAGTAAGAGCCCCTTCTTTTTCTATAGCACGTAGTATTCCATTGCGTAAATGTTCCTTTTTTCATTAATATACCAGAAACCTCATTAAATGGAAGAGGCTTGGGCCTCTCTTGATCCCCAAGAAGCCCTGGTTTTAAATAGTTGTCAGCAGCCAGTTAGCTGGGGTCACAAAAACCCTTTGTTCTCTGGACTAAGCATCGCAAGTTCTTTCAACAGTCTCTCATTTTTTAAATTGATTCTCTCTCTCTCTCTCTCTCTCTCTCTTATTTTTTTTTTTTAGAAAGAGAGGAAGGGAGAGGGAGAAAGCCACCTCCTGCTCTGTTTCTTTGAGTTTTTGGTTTTTTTTAAGATTCCACATATAAGTGAGATCATAGAGTATTCATCTTTCTCAGTCTGACTTACTTCACTTAGCATAATGCCCTCAAGATCCATCCATGTTGTTGAAAATGGCAAGATTTTCTTCTTTTTGTGGCTGAATAATATTCCATTGCATGTATGTGTAGGCTCATTGGAGAAAGCCTGCAAAGGCAGTTGTAGGAAACAACGTAATAGACCTTATTTGGCGGGGGGGGGGGTTGGAGGGAGTTCATAAACCCAGAGTGGAAAAGACTAGAAAGATACAAACTAAAATTGTACAGTAGCCAGTACATATCCATCTGCATTTCTAGAGCGTTGTGAAGGTTGAATGCGAGACTGTTCAGCCAAGTGCGTCCCTGTACTGGCTACTGTAAACAGCGCTGCAATGAACACGGGGTGCACGTGTCTTTTGGAGTTAGTGTCATTTCCTTTGAGTAAACATCCAGAAGTGGAATCGCCAGATCATATGGTGGTTCTGTATTTTATTTTTATTTCTTGGGACACAAAGTATCTCGCCCGAGGTTACACAGGCTACAACCCGCCTCCCTCCGGGATTTGCAATTTGACTCTCTGGGTTCTGCAGAGGACACGGCCGAAGCCATGCGGCAGGACAGTGGGGCCCGCGTGGGAGCCTCTGGGGGTCCCCATGCTTCTCAGAGGTTCTCTGCAGTGGGTCCCGGTCTCCGTTGAGCAGAGAGGGTGTGAGCCAGTGACAGCGGCATCATCACCCTTGGTGGGGCTGCTCTGGACCCACTGGCTGGTAGTTTTGGGGGGTGCAGAATACAACACAATTGCTTTCGAGCCGAGTGGTCCAGGCAGAAAACATGTCGATTTAACAATTTATATTCATGTACGGATTACAGAGCAAGATCTGGCGATAAAGGACATAAAGGGGCCTGGGGACCTCACTGCCCTCTCATTGTGTGTCAAGGGGCACAGCAGGGCCTTCCTGAAGCCACCCCGTGCACGGCACAGCTCTCCCAAACAGATGTCTGCGCTGGCAGGTCACGCGGGGGCTGGAGGCATTTCATTTCTCTGTTTGTTTGCAGCTGATGATTATCATTCTTGGTTAGGAGGTAGCATGAATGTTTCTTACTTTTTGGAACAAAGGTAGCAATTCCAAACCAGAAACACTTTGGTTTTGGTTTTTAGTTGTTGTTTTGGTTTTGTTTTCTTATTGCAAAAAAACGATAGCCACTCATTGTAGAAAAAGTAGAAAATACAGATAAGCCGAGAGAAGAAAGGGAAAAGCTTCCCCAACTCCAGGTCTAAAAATAACCGTGGCTAGTGATTTGGTTTGTACCCTTGTACATTTGATACAATTTTAGTTTGTATCTTTCTAGTCTTTTTCACTCAGGGTTTATGAACTCTCTCCAACCCCCAAAATAAGGTCTATTGCGTTGTTTCCTACAACCGCCCTTGCAGGCTCTCTCCAATGAGACTACATCATTTTCACACAAGAGGGTAAGCCAGTCCCAGCCAGCCACCCAGCACCGGGCTTTCACTCATGGAAGGGCAGGGGCCTCAGGTCAGAAGGAAGAGGCATCCACAGGTGGCAGGCTTTCTGCCTGGGAAGTGCCTTTACACAGCACCCCCTGCTCACCCTGGCTGCCTCTCCAAGTGCCCTGGTCTGCATTCCTCAGACACCATAACCCTAAATCCCTTCCCTCCACAGACCTGGATGATAAATCGCAAAAATGAGCTAACAATGGTGTTCATACAAAAATCATAAATCTGAATCAGGTTTATAAAGGCGCTGCGTTAAGAGGTACTTAGTATCAAGTTCAGCTGGCAGACTAGGTCCTGGAACACACATGGAATATTTGAACTCCTACATCCTGTATCAGCCCCTTAAGTTAGCCCAACACCAGACAGCCGTTTTTAAAGCACTTGGAGGAACAGTCTCGAATTCA